TCAATGGTTAGCGGTCGGGAGGCAGAGTTGTGCTTTGCAAGTTGGAATAATTTTGGTAAACGACCCTGCAATCCATTGTTCAGTAATGAAGCTCAGCAACTGGAGCTTACACTGGATAAGTCTTGTGTTTTGGTGTAAACCATGCATGGCCTCTGCAGGTAGGGGACATAACCCATCCCGCCCGTAACGGGAGCCTCCCAGCAGCAGCAGCACAGCACAACTCAGCGCTCTGCCGCCCAGAATCTGAACACGTTCGTTTCGCTCGTTCTTACACGATGCCGAGCCGGTCACCCACCTTGGCTCGCACGTTCTCAAAACGAGGCCGGGTTTACAAGTGAGAAGCAGATTAAGAACACGTCAGTCTGGGGGTAGGAGAGCGGCCTCAGACGGTCGTAGTCCTCCTGGCCGGCCGTATCCCACAGACCGAGGTTGATGGGCTTGCCGTCCACCATCACATTGGCAGAGTAGTTGTCGAACCTGATGGACGGAACGGTGGCCGTCAGTGGCTTGAATGGGGGAGTGGGCATGGGGAGGAGACAGGAGACAGGGCGTGGTACAGAGCAGGGGGCCTAGAGAAATAATGCAATCGATAAGCAAGTCAATTGGGCATGCCCTTTGTATGATTTATAAAACAGTGCAAGGCATTAGAGTAACAGGACAGCCAGGCATATAAAACTTTGACCAAAGAGCATACTAAACAACCAAATGTAAGGGGCTTCATTGATAATATGCAGTCAATATCCATCTTTCTTTTATTACTTTTTCTTTTCTTCTTTCTTTGATCATTGACAACTGTGTCATTCACACTATATACCAAAAATTATTTTATATGCATTTATGAAGTCTACAATCTGTCCAGAGAGTAAAACTAGCTTTTCAAGCTATATAATAACAAAACAACACAAGAACTTACACAGTAGGGATATACTCCCCAGGGAAGGCATTTGTAGTATAACTGATCAGGAGACATGTTTTACCAACAGCTCTGTAAAGAGAAAACAATGCAGTGATTAGGGCATACAATACAACACCATAATGATATGTACCTGTCCTACACACATCATTATATTGTGTTTGTAGCAGGTAACAAGTCAAATCTAGCCTACTTCACTTGATGTTGCTATGAAACAATTCATCTTGTTCTGACTTGTGGCATTGTTGGCTACTTCATTTGTTTTCAGAAGTGGTTTGGCACTGAATACATTTGTTCACTCAATTTAGAATGCAAAAGAGCAAAACCTGAACCTGAGAAAATCAATGTAAGAACCAAGAATAAAATGAAAGTTTGATTACGGAGCGAGCGAAGCGAGCGTAGTCTTTCCTTAGATTAACGGAAATTTCTGAGTATGAGCGGCCGGCCGGCCGGCCGGCCGGCCGTGGTCACGCTTTTGCGAGGCTTATATCTCAGCAACCACTTGACCGATTTACATGCGGTAATTTTTGTAGGGTAGCTTCATTCCTTCTACCAAGTATTGCACTATTCCCGATGCATGTGGGTGACCCCTTAAGCACGTGCCACGTGCAAAACGAAGAGGTGTCACTTTTGCAATTGTTGCAATATCTCGGTAACTACTGGGCCGATTGCGCTGAGAGTTGGCATGTAGGTAGGCACCCACTAGGCAATGCATATCCATGTGCCAGAGTTGGGGTGCTGCTGCACGTGCGCACGTGCAGGGGTCGTTTCCAGATCTCGAGAACGGCTGGACCGATTGCGCTCAAATTTGGTACACGGTTACGGAGCAGTTAGTAGGGTGCCGTGCACAAGTCAGTTGGGACCCATTTTGCACGTGCACACGTGCAGGGTGCCGCTTCCAGATCTCGAGAACGGCTGGGCCGATTGTGCTCAAATTTGGCACATCGCTAGAGACCGGTTAGTAGGGTGCCGTGCACAAGTCAGTTGGAGGTACCCCTAGAAATTTCGCACATGCAAGGCTCACCCTCTCGCTCGCTCCGTTAGTCGCCCCAAAAGGCGCTATACTGGTAACCAGTAATTTGAAACTATCGCGAAAAGCTATCACATATTCTAAATTTAAGCTTGTGCCTATTATAAACTAAATTATCAATAGCTGAATATGCAGGGCATGTTAGGCTTTTGCTCATTATTTATAAATGAACCAGAACAATAACCAAAGCCTGTGTTCTGGTTCATAAACAAGAAACAAATACCATTTAGTGAGATAATGTCCATTCAAGCTCATATCACGTTTTATGTATCTCAATATTTATTGAGAAACATGCTATATTTGATACTGCACAAGGCAATTAATGTTTCAGTTGCAAACTGCTTTGTAACCTTCAGCAAATTACCTATTATACATGCTTAAGGATTAGCATCTTTAAAACCCAAGCAATCATCAGACACACGTGGATCCCTTATATCTTGAAAAATAAAGAAAATGCATTAGGAACGAACAAATTAATAAAACCAAAATTCATGCAAGGCTTAGTCACACCCCACCACAAATGCCGCAGCCCCACCTTACGAACAAACCAAGCCTAATGTTATAAAGAGAAGAGCTTACCCGTCTCCAACTACTACACATTTGATAGCTTGCATTTTGGCCTAGCTGATTTGGTCGAATTTGAACTAAACAACCAATTGATCATGAAGAATCAGCGCAATACATAACAACAACACATGCACCGCAAATGCCGACAAACACAACCACTGACATCCGCGCCGCATATTTACGTCTGGACAACGAGTTGCGGGGAAAAGTGCTGATTGTGTTGCAGTTTTAGGAGCCGGTGATTAGGCTGGATTTTTGGGTTACTTTTTCGTTCCGATTCATGTATTTCATAGTGTTTGGCTTTTGAATATTTTAGTTCTTTCAGATAAATATTACTTGCGTTACAACTTTTGTAAAAACGTTTCATTTTTTATAAGCCGACGTTCAGAGTCCTAAAAATACATCAGCACTACAATCATTGTAAACAAACAAATGGAGCACCACTTGGCTCTGTTCCAAGGCCATTTTTTAGTTTATCTGGTGGTTTTCTTGCTCTTGTACGTCGTTTTGTTGGATGTTTTGAATCCCTTAAGATTGACTTATATCATATTTAAGAAGCATGTTGACTGAAAACCAAAACAATCTGAAGTATCCAGGAGGCTGACAGAGGTCCTGACTACTGAGCAATATCAATATCAAGTTGAACAAGTTATGAAATTTTGGTTGATAAACGCAAGTTGATTGGGCTCATATATCAGCAAGAAAAAGCAAAATTAAAAGAGCTTATTGTCCAAAAACAAGCTATAATATTACAGACCTTGGAGGCTGGAGCAATACTGAAGAGCACACTGAGCAGGATCGTGCCAGAAAATGTTGACTGATGAGCGCATATTGATGTATTGGTATGAATATTGAATGATAACTTACAACAGCAAGATAAATTAGTGCTAACTATCAAGTTAGAATCTAGAATGAATGGACTTGGGCAGTTTTACTATGCTTAGATGCTATGCAGATTGTAATGTGCATCAGGTACTCAGTGTCTGGCAAATGAAACATGTGATCATTCCATTGCTACTGGAGGAGAAAGCTTGGATCACTAAATCCACTGTATGTTGATTTTGATGTTAATCATCATCACTGTATTTCTTGAAAAAAGGATTGTAGTAAAATTGTCAATGTGACAATCCATGCAACGATGTGATCATATTATGTGTTCATAGTCATTCGTCACGAATGATTCGTGATAGTCATTATTGGTCCAATATACAATGGCAAAGCTCTCAGTCTCAGCGTTTCTTCCTGTGGATGGCCAGCAGTGACTCAGAGCTTAGAAGTATTAGTTTTCTTCACAGGGCTGGGATAAAAAGTACTGAGGGTAATCTTCCACCAAGGAACTCTACTTTGACATGGTATGAGATGTAGGCACAAGTAGGTAGGTGCTCAGTTCCTATAGTCAGTAGTTGTGTATGTTTAGTCGGGTTAGCTTAGATCAGATTGTTAGTTTTTTAATTTGCCACATGTCCATAAAAATGTGACCTGAGCAATGAGAATACCTGAACCTGACTAACCTGACAGCTGACCTAACCTCAATCATCACACATATTTGCAGCCTACCCAAGACCTGCATGGCAGTAGCACCCAGTTATGGGTAGGTACTCACCCTAACTCAATCTTACCTGCTAACCTTCAACTTGCCAAAAGTTAGCTCACATTGCCAAGCTGTGTCCAGGGAAACAGTCAACTGAGGAACTGGCTCATTGGGTGGCTGGTGTGAGTCTGTGCATTTAAAGTGTTTCTTCTCTGAAGCTGCTCTGCACTGCTGTATGTCATGTTAGATGCTCAGAAAATGTGGGAAATGATTACTAAGCTACTTTAGTGCTTTGTTAATGCTCGAGACATGAACAAGTACAGATCCTGCGACCTGCAGGGTACAGCTATGAGTTAGGTGCTAGGTGAGTATGTTATGTGAATGTGCTGTTACCTGTTTGACCGTAAGTATACAAACAAGCACTGGGTCACAGTTATATTCAATCTCCACATAAACATACAACAAAAACGGCCATATAGCCTAACTCCGAACACACCACAGATAACTTAAGCCTTTGAAGGCACAAAAATGTTTTGATTAACAGGACAGGTTTACAATATATCCTCTGTCCTTGGGGGATCTTGCTGCCAAGTTGAGGTATGATGACTGAACTTCAGGATTGATCAACCTTTTCTTAGCCACTGCTTATATACTAGAAAGACCAAATGCTTGTTTGTTTTGATTTACAGGACATGTATACAATATATCCTCTGTCCTTGGGGGATCTTGCTGCCAAGTTGAGGTACGATGACTGAAGTTCAGGATTGATCAACCTTTTCTTAGCCACTGGCCCACTGAATAAACGAGAAAGACCAAATGCTTGTTTGTAAACTGCGTTGAAAATTTAATGATCCACCTTCAATTCTGACATGAAGGCACAAATGAAATAGTTCCCTCTGCTTTTGGAATACACAAAGCAAAATATTTAATAAATTTTAGTGGATGGACAAGAGCAATTAGCATAGCTTTCCCTCAAGTTAACTTCTGGCACTGTTGATGAATTACACTGACGCTTATTCGCTTCATATTTTGTAACAAACGCGCTAGAATTGCAATATAACAGCACTATATGCTTCTTGACAAAATGCAATAGTATTAAAAATTTAGCCCTGATGGCATTCATTCTTGGTGGAAACGTAATTACAAAATATTTTGTAGTAACTTTTAAATTCCGGCCGAAAACAGTGCACGGTTTAAAAAAGAATCATTCCAATGACGGTCCATTCTTGCGGTCCTGAAATCGCCACTATTTCCGGCCTCTCCAACGCAACTCGTTGTCCAGACGTAAATATGCATCCGCGCCGGAAACGTACCAAAGGAGACTACTAGGTTGTGACCACTAAAATAAAGTAGCAGTATTTTGCTGAAATCATAACAAAATCGTTCGCAAAATTTCAATCGTTGACAGGTAAATGCTCAAAAGCGTAGAAGCCATGCCTGTAGTAGGTGCAGATGCACCCACTGTAACCTCCAATGGCTGCAGATAATGTATTCTGCACCCACAAAATTTGGAGCAAAGACCCCTTTACTTTACAACACTACCTACCTACCTACATCCACGGTGACTATAAATACGGTGATCTCATCTGGATTTGGTCACGTGATCATTTTCGAGCGCAGCGCACGTGCAGTTGTGGCGAGGGCACTTCCAGAAATTCTGGATCCATGCGATTTTGGAGCCAATGTAAAGTCTATGGGGAAATGGTTCATTTTTATTTGTTTTTCTTATCACACCTAAACTTTCAAGTTTTTCTCAAAGATACACCCTGATTCATGTGTAGAATTGATTGGTCTTTCATATGGTATCAATTTTAGATTTTTATCGGATAATTTCAAAAACTACTTACCATTTAAACTACAAAAAGAGGTGATTGCGGCTAAGCATTGCGACAGCCATGTCATGTCATTGGGAAATTACGATTTCTTGTGCATCTTCATTTTAACTGTTCTCGAAGCCAGTACCTACTGGATGATTCATGCGTAGAATTTGTTGAACTTTTGTCTTTTGTCACTGTTAATGCCTTTATGAAATAATTCATCAAATCATTTCGCCCCGGCCGACATGAACGCCGCTGTGAGCCGGTTTTGGCGTCGGGGAGAGAGAGAGAGAGAGAGAGAGAGAGAGAGAGAGAGAGAGAGAGAGAGAGAGAGAGAGAGAGAGAGAGAGGGGACGGGGACGGGGACGGGGACGGGGACGGGGACGGGGACGGGGACGGAGACGGAGACGGAGACGGAGACGGAGACGGAGACGGAGACGGAGACGGAGACGGAGACGGAGACGGAGACGGAGACGGAGACGGAGACGGAGACGGAGACGGAGACGAGAGAGAGAGAGAGAGAGAGAGAGAGAGAGAGAGAGAGAGAGAGAGAGAGAGAGAGAAGACCAGGGGCCATCGGTGAGGCGGCGTACCCGCGCGGGAGCTCCACGCCAGGTACTGGGAGCGGGCTCGCCTTTTCCTCGTAGTGACCCATCAAGGCTGGGCGGCGGCGGTACTAGTTTCGCAAGGGACAGACATGGAGCGACTCGGGACTCGTCTCAGTCCGGCCGCTACCCAGCCGCCCGCCGCGCCTGGCCGGGCAGCTGCTTCGCCGGCCGGGTGGCGCAGGCGGCCCTCCCGGCTCCCGCCCGTCTGGGATGCGCTCCCCAACCGCAGGGCGTCGGCGGCGCCCAAGAGGCATAAGAATAACGGCGGTGCTGCGGGCGGCTTGTGGGGTGACGGTGCCGCGCTCCTTCCCCGGCTCCTCGCCGTCCGTCCCCTCTCCCCGATGCCGTTTTCTTCCAGGGGAGGCGCCCCGGCCGCCGTGCCGGGGCGTAGCGCAGTCTGTGCTTTAAGTACAGCAAGATATTCACCCAGGCTAGATTAAGGTCACAACAACCTAGGATTAAGGGTGGCTACAGACTTTAGACTTAATGCAGACTTAACATGAAGGTATTATATATGCAACTAAATGACACACATGGTATTTGTTCTAACCTTCTCAACAGAAAGTGAACATGTCAGGACAGCACCCCTCGATGACCATTATACTCAAGGGGTGTAGGCACTGATTCCCCAGGGGTGAAGTGATAGGAGCACAAACATGAGTCACTAGTTGGCTCTGTGTCTTTCCTCCTGCAGGAAAAAATATATGTGTGATGCCCAATGTGAGGTAACTGCATATTATAAAGCTGGAAATATTGTACAAAGTTATGACAACACAAGCAAACTATGCATGTTACTGCTCTTGTTCTTGCTATATTGATATGAGACCTCACAAGACACAAAATATGCATGGTAAAAAGGGAGCAACAATACATTTGAAATGTAGCTTGTCATTAAAATGATCATGAATTTCACTACATCAAAAGTGAATGAAATTAAGTGATAATCAAAGACTGGAAAAGAAGATCAGCATAACTACATAATATGTCTTGTTTCCAAATCTAAAGTATGATCCTCAATGTTGCAAAAGTTGGTTGACTTTAACAATAACTTTGAATAAAAAAACAACATATGGTAAACAGTCACACTTCAAGGAAATCGCAAGATCCATCCAACCTTTGACATGCCCTGTTTGGAATGCTGTTAACATGCTATGATCTTCACAGAATAGGTAAAATCAACTCAAAATATTACATTCTTTTATTACAAATCATAT